TAAGTTCTGGCAAAGAAAGAGACGGAGCTAAATCTAGCTGCACAAGAACAATCCTTAAGAACAAATGCATATGAAACCAAAACTGAGAAAACAGTAACAGATAGCAAGTGCCACCTCTGCAAAGAAGTTGAAGAAACAGTGGACCACGTGGTTAGCTGCTGAAAGAAGTTTGCACAGACTGACTACAAAAAGGAGCATGAGAAAATAGTAACAATGCTACCTTGGAAGATTTTCAAGAAATATCATTTGCCTGCAAGCAAGAATTTGTGGAATCATAAAATAGAGAAATGAAAATGAATAAGCTAAAGTGTTCTGAGACTTTAGAATGCCAATAGACAGCACATGCCATATAACACCCAGACTTAACAACTGTCAATAAGAAAGATAAAAAAGTCTGAATAGTTGACGTGACAGTACCTGGAGATAGCAGAATAGAAGTACCTGGAGAAGAAAATAGAAAGACCCACAAATAGAAATAGAAACACTATGGCAAAAGAAAGCAAAGTAATAGTAATAGAAGCCTTGGGTGCAATCCCAAAAGACTTTGAGCACCACTTGAACACCATCGGCATTGACAAATTCATCATCAGTCAATTGCAAAAGGGAGCCTTATTTGGAACAGTTTTCATCCTGAGACGAAACCTCTAACACCGTAAAATATCAACATCTTCCTATCCTAAGTCTTTAAGAAAAACTCAATAATGGCAGGAAGAACAGCCAAATGTCAATTCTCTATGTCCTGTTTAAGTTTATATGGACCTCTATAGCAAAAGATGGATGCTGGTCTGTTTCATTTGATCTGATAACAAAAGATGGATGATTTTGCAGTTTGATGCTGGCAGATGATTTTGCAAGTTTATTGGCAGCATCCATTATGATGAGGAAAACAGGATCTTATGTTTTTTTCTGAAATTGAGGTTATTGAACCCAAGGAAGTGCAGAGAGCCTTTAGTTTCAGCTCTGCCCCTGCAAACCTAACTGGCTGGCTTCAATCAGCTGGGCACATTCTGGAAAGCTAGATCACGAAAATTATTAATGCTTCTCTGAAAAAGAGTCCCCAACATTCCTCATTAAAGAAAGTGGTTAAGAAGTGGTACCAACTTAGCTTCTGAGGATCCTACAAGAAATGAATTATTTGAATTCCTGTCAGGATTCAGATCTGCTAATGAGATGAACACAGCATTGGCTGCCCTTGTAGCCAATGCCCTTTTGCTGGCTGTTCATGAGGGGATTATGCACTTCTTGGTTCTGTGAAATTACGCAGTGGCTCAAGGCTTTGATTATTCCAGATTCAGGTAGATCTCAACTTATAACCATAATGGAACCTGTCTATTATGGTTGCAAATCATCTGTTTGTTAAGTAACACACATAATCACTTCACTTGATGACTCTCCCCACTTTTGCTTTCCCCAAAGCAGTTATGCAACTGAGCAGTCATTAAATGGAAGATGAGGTGCCTCAGAGTAGGAAATGCCCAAAGAGGGCTAGTGCAGGCCCACACCCAACTGGCCTGGATCTTTCAGAGCTTCCCCCAGCCCATAAGGTACCTTGTGCTCCTCTTCCCATCTCCCAGGGTCCTCAAAGATCTTCGGCTTACTTTCCCACCACACTGGGTCCTTCCAGGATTGGGGCCTACTTCCCACCCCATTGGGTCCCATAACTTCCTCTCCATTACTCATGACTCATTTACCTTCTATTGATCTCTAATGCTCCAGAGCTTGCATTAGGGAGAGAGAGTAGGCTCCTGCATCCCCAGCATCCCTGCAGGCCACATAGTGACATCCCAGAAGTGGATGCCATTTTCAGAGGAAAATACTTACCTTAACCTGCAGCCAATGTTATGCATAGTTTATGTTTAGAAAATACTATATTATTTTATTTTCTATTTTGTATCTTTTTAGTGATAACCCCAGAAATTATTTCATTTATTAATTTATTATTACTATATGGTCCACACTATTACAAGTTTCAAGATTTTAACATTAACCTGCCTTTGACTGACCAGGTTCAAGCTCTTAATTGAATAGGTATTTTAACATTGCTATTTAGATAATGTATTTCATTATTTGTATTCTTGAGTTCTGTGGAATAATGGTAAAGGTTTCCGACTTTCAAGTTGTGTCCGACTCTAGGGCCAGTGCTCATCTCCCTTTCTTAATCAAAGGAGCCAGCATTGTCCAAAGATACTCTCGTGATCATGTGGCCAGCATTCTTGGCCAAAGCACATGGAATGTTGTTATCTTCCTACCATAGTAGTATCTATTTATTTATTGCATTTACATGTTTTTAAGCTACTACGTTGGCAGGAGCTTGGGAAAGTAATGGGAGCTCACCCTGTTGTGCATCACTCTGGTCTCGAATCCAGGTTGTTAGCTTTCCAACTGACAAACTCAGCATATTTAATCACTGAGCTATCTTGTCCCTTTGTGGGAATAGGCATTCCAAAAATCATAATATTTGTATACTAATTATTCCCATTTAAAAAAATATATTTTTTTAATATATTTTCTTATCTTATTTATCTGAACAACCGATTGGCCAGAGAACTGAGGAATGATTAGCTTTATAAATTCATTTTCTCAAATTCCATTTGAAACTGATGATAATTTGAATAATAGTTTATTAAATATGGCTAGATATTAGAGCAGACATGTCAAACACAAGGCCTGGGGGCCGGATGTGGCCCGCAAAGTGGTTTCATGTGGTCCGCGAAGCCATCCTGGAAACAGTGAGGGAACGGCCCCCACTGCCTTGGTCCTGGTCCACGCCGGCCGGGAGCCAATGTACAATTTTGTGTGGCCATCTATGCTGAAACACATTCAGTCTTAGCTCCACAAGGCCATCTGGAAACAATGAGGAACCAGTCCCTGCTGCATCGGCCCTGCCCCTGGGTGCATGCTGGGGAGGTGTCACCCTTTGTGAGGAATGAAAAAATGCACCATCGCCTGGAAGTGGCCAGCAAATGGCACTCGTCTACTTCACCTATCTGGCTTGATGGGCTCCAGGGGAAGGGTTTTGGCAAGCAGCTGGGCACTCTCCTCACAGCGCTGAGAGGCTGAGCTGGGCAGCGCAAATTCAAAAAGAAGTACGATGATGCCCAGCCCCCAGCCTGCCCAGTTTTGGCAAGCAGGGAGGCGCTCTCCTCACACTGCCAAGAGGATGAGCCGGGCGGCACAAATCCAAAAAGAAGCGCAAGGCTGCCCAGCTCCCAGCCTGCCCGGTTTCGACAGGCAGCGGGGCGCTCTCCTCACAGCACCAAGAGCTGAGCTGGGTGGTGCAAATCTGATGAGAAGTGCAATGCTGCCTAGCCCCTAGTCTGCCAAGATTCAGCAGGCAGCAAGGTGCAAAGCTGAGACCGGGCAGACTGGGGGCTGGGTGGCATTGCGCAGGTAATGTTGATTCTCACGCTGCTCATGGCATCCCCTCTCCCAGAGGCCACCAAGCCAGATATGTGAAGTAGGTGAGGGCGATGTACTGGTTACTTCCAAGTGATGGTGCATTTCTTCATTCCTCACGAAGGGTGACACCTCCCCAGCTGTGTTTCTTGCCTGTTTTTCCTCCCTCCCTCATCTCAAATATTTTCCCACCACTCAGGAAGGAAGGAAGGAAGGAAGGAAGGAACGAAGGAAGGAAGGAAGGAAGGAACGAAGGAAGGAAGGAAGGAAGGAAGGAAGGAAGAGGGAGGGTCTGAGGGAACTCCTGCCCTGCTGTCCTTTCATCATCTTGCCCTCTCCTCCTGGCCTATCCTGGGGGTCTCCCATCCTATTGCTAAGGAAGCTTTGGATACAAAGCCGGGTCTACTCCCATGCAGAGGGAATGGGCCTCCCTCTGACTTTGCCCTCGTACCCATTATGACAACCTGGCTAAAAAGAGCAAGCACAACAGCAGCAGCTTTGAGGAGGAGGTAAGTGTAGCTGGGTGCCCCCTTGAGGAAGTGGGGCTGGGCTTGGTGCTGCGGGTGCTTGAAGGCCAGGCTGGGCATTTGACCTGTGCTGCCCAGGGCTCCTCGCAGTCCGCACCACCATCCAGCCTCCTCCCCACATGGCCTGAGAGGAACAGTAAGACTCCTCCAGTGGACCATGCCTTGGCACTTGCCCTGGTCCCACCCCCTTCTGCCAGAGACCCTCAATCTATCCCACTCCTGCCCACGCCCCCACAGGCACCCTTGACGCAAATGATGTAGAGCTGGCTATGCCCACTCAGTAGGTCACACTCATTCCATCCACGCCCACCCAGTAGGCCGCACCCACCCTGGCCATACTCACTCAGCCTCCCAAGGGCAACCGCAATACTAGTGCGGCCCTCACTGAAATTGAGTTTGATACCCCTGTATTAGAGTATTACAGAGAGTTGAGTTAAACCAGAGGTCCCCAACCTTTTGGGCACCAGGGATTGGTTCCATGGAGAGAGGTTTTTCTGCAAATTGGAGGATATGTAGTTTTGTGTGCTGCCTGCATCCCACGGATGGGGCTTTGCTTGTTTGTGCGGACCAGTTGCTGGCATGCCCGGAGCGATACTGGTCCACGGCCAGGGATTGGGGACCCCTGAGTTAGACAATACCGTGTTTTAATTCTTAGTTATTTGAAGCTGATTTTTAAATAGTATGTAAAGTGTCAATGAATAGACTAAAATACTGTTTATTGAAAGAGATGTTCTTTATTGAATTAAGAACTGGGTTTTATAAATCCAACGATGGTGCATATTTATGTGCAAAGTGTCTAAGGTAGTCTTCATTCAAATATATTACACCTAAAATGGAGTAATAATAATAATAAAGTTGGAAAGGACCTTGGAGGTCATCCTCATCATAAGCTATGTCCGTGTTTTTATTGCATTTACATTTGGTCTTTTTCAGAAAAAGTGAAGGAGCAAGTTGCAACTTAATTTTTTTACATGCGGTTTGTAATTTAGTTACCAACATAGTTTTCAATTTAATCTGCTTTCAGCACAGAAGAAGATTCATACTGAATAAAATTGTTATATATTTGTTTCATTTAAGACACTGCCTCAAGGAACACCCCATCTGGTGAATAAAAATTTATATGAAGCAACACCCATGCAGTGTTTACTTGACTTGGTTGACAAATACTGGAATGGCTCCAAATCACTCCATTACAATGAGATTTTTTTAGGTAAGTAAGAATGAATGTTGGAATTCAGTTATCCTTTCTGATGACTCCATTTTTCTGATGATTTGGTTACTTCTGCTTTTAAAAACTGTTAATTGAGATTATCACCCTTCAAGGCAAGGGTGCCCAGCAAATGTTCAGATAACAGCAGCTTATCAGTTTACAGTCATTCTTTATAATAGGAGGTGATTTCTATTTATAATGTGGAGGCATCCAACCCGGATGCCTATGCAGAAGTGTTGCTACTGTTATCAAATATTCCATATGGCTTACAGGACTGCTACTTAGCAGATAGCCAATTATGGTTCCATGTTTGTGAAAGTGGGCTATTAGGATCAGAACTGAGACTAGTATACAGCCTCTCTGCTTCATAACAGTCTCACTAACTGTTTGAGTCCATGGATGGATTGGCAGTAGAGTTCTCTGGGTTTAAGGGATTATATGGGACTTTAATCTTCTATTCCAGTCTGTTTATGAGTTGAAAACATGATAACCAAGAACCTGACTAGTTATCTCTGGCACAGCTCACAGTGGGAGACACAATGTAGACTTGATTTTTTAAAAAATATATTTTATTGATTTTTTAATATAGACATCTTGATTTTTGATAAACAGTGTGTTGTCTGGGTTTATATTTACAAAGTAATCACTAACAGTTAATTTTTATATTTCAAAATCCACATTATAACTTTGCTTGATTTTCTCTTCTTCCAATAATATTCTCTTTATAACCTAAATCAATACAATTCTTACTAATTTGATCTATAAAGATTTTTTCTTAAAATTTCTACCAATAATAACTTCATCAATATCAGGCTTCTTTTCTATCTGGTCATCTTGGTTGCATCATCACAAATCCTGTTTACAATTCTTATTTAAATTTATTTTCCCTACAATGTTCAAAACATTTCTACTGATTAAAGTTTTCCCGGAATTAATTACTTTAAAGTATTTAAATCTATTTTCATATCTTAAAAAATAAGTAAGACAAAGGAAAAAAAGACGCGAAAGAGAAAAAGAGAAAAAGAAAAAAGAAGTAACAATAATAATATACTACTTTAAATACTTATCCCTTTTGAATTAGTATACATTTATTTCCAAATTCTTTCTGTTCTTTTTACCCATAATTAAACCTATGTTTAATCTTTAAATGTTCCATTTAATAAATCTAATCTTTTAACTTTATTCAAAACATTTTTCCCATTTTAGTTATCCATTGGAATTTTCTTAAAATCAATACGTTTAAATATCTAAAACATTTTGTTTATATTAATCATGCCACACATTTTTATAGTTCTCATATTGAAAAACAAAAGAAAAAAAAGATACTGACTTACTTAGAGAGTTCATCTCTCTTAAGCTAAAATCTTTCCATTTCTTTAGCCATATTCAAACAAATATTCCCTCTGATAACATCCCATCATCTAATTCCTCACTTTAGCCCTCTTCTTTTGCCAAGCATCTCTTCCAATTAATATATTCCATTGCATCAAAGAGTCTTTCCATAATCTTGTAAATGTTGTTGTGGATATAGTAGGCAAATCAAACATCATGTCTTTGTAAAAAGATTTTGCCCCTTCATATTCATTGAAGATTTTTCTCATCTTCCCTTGTCTCCCATTTCTTGTGGTACTCCCAACAACTCAGCAACTCATTTTGTCAAATCTTTTTCCTTATCCTCAAATTTACTTTGTGGTCTTAGAGTTATCTTTTCAATGTTCAATGTTTCTTGTAATTCCTTCTCCACTTGAGTCTCTACTAGCTTATATTTAGTTGTCTGCTTTACATGATTTCTCTCTTGTTTTCTGATCATTTGATTGTTGTGACATTAAATTGAGAATGCATTCATTTAAATTTTCAAATTCATTTTAAATTTCCTGATGGTTTGAAGTTAATATCATTTGCATTTGTTGCAACAGAATAAACATTTCCTCCTGGTAAGTATTTTTTTCTTGGTATATTCTTTCTGCAGATCTCTGATGCTCCATAATTACCAAAAGTCCTTTCTCTGCTAATCACTTTAAAATCGCAATTTAAAAAATATTTATAATCCAGGAAGGTCAATTTTTTCCAAGTTTTGTAGTTCTCACTTTGTAGATAGTCCAGCTGCTGTTTGTTTAATCAACACCCTGAAGGTCACAACAGCAGGCTTCTCTTTCTGGGCGGTATATTTAGGGCAGTATTTTCATCCACCACTAGATGTCAGCACCAGCCCACCTTTCAATTCCCCCCCCCAGTAAACTTAATTCGTCACTTCCATTTAGAGGAGGGTAGAACAAAGACACACACACTCCTCACTTTTGGAGGATTTTTACTTCTGGGTTTTTTTTCTTTTTTTTCAGGAAATCAGTCAGGTAGAAGAGAGAAAATCAATATTCTTATCTGGTTTAGTCACACTGTTTATAGTCACGCTTAGTTTAGTACTTTTTTGCTTTGGCTGCATGTAGCTTGGGCTAGACCAGTGGTTCTCAACCTTTGGGTCGAGACCCCATTTGGGGTCGAACGACCATTTCACGGGGGTCGCCAAACAACGCAATCCGCCATTTTTTTCCCCTTTTCCTTTTATTCTATTGGCTTTTGAAAGCCAATAGAATAGACTCTCTTGAATAGAGTCTAATTCTATTGGCTTTCAAAAGCCAATAGGAATTGTCCAGGCTGTCTCTGCCCTGTTGAGCCCGCCAAAAGTCCCATTCTGCAAACGGTGCTGCACCAGTTGAGTAGTCCTCGACTTACGACCAATTGAGTAGTCCTCCACTTAAGACCGGTTGGGGGTCACGGCATTAAAAAGGTTGAGAACCACTGGGCTAGACTCATGAATGAGTCTTTCTTCTGTCGGTTTTTGGAGAGCTTTCCTCAGATATCTTGATCGACCACCATCTCCCCAGGATCGGCGGGGCTTCCCTCCTTCCTTGCTACCTCTCCGGGATGGCTTTGGGCCCATTTAGGGTCCCCAAACAGAGAGAAATCAGCCATAGGGATTGGATCATCTCGATCCCTCGGCTGGTGTGCTAGCTGCGCAGAACCAGAAGCCTAGACTTGATTTTTTTAAATTTATTTTTTTTAATTTTTTTTATTAATTTTCTAATATTATATTTGCATATTTGAAAAGCAACGTGGCAGCTGAGTACAATAATTCCATTACATTTAAATATCATCAATACAAATCTCAAAATATTATGACAACTAATTCCCTCTTTCCCCCTTAATATATACTGTCTTATATTCAAAACAACACAATTCTTATTCTATCAATCAAACAGAAAATAACTTTCTACCATTCATCAATAATCTTCAGTTTATGATAACTTAATTAATTTAACATTCCACCTTTTAGACAGTCAATGACCTAATAAATTTTTTAATTTTAATTTTCCATTAATATTTTAAATTTAATGTTTAATCTTTTTCATTTCCAAATTTTAAATGACTCCAATTTCTATCACGGTTCCCCCACAGTCTAAAGTTCCAGATACACCTCTGATCTATACATAATTCTCACCATCTACATCAACCAATTAATAATACAAAATAATATTCTTATTTTTGTAGTGATTCTCCAGTATCTTAGAATCTCAAATTTAACAGCCAAGATTTCTTTTATTTCCACACTTAATACTTCCTCTTTTTTCCTTTTTATGTCTCCTACCTCATATTTGAGACTAATAAATTTTTAACCTATTAGCATTTATACCACAAACCAATATACAAATGTAATTATTAGTATTTTACTTCTAAGATTTACTTAGCCAAAATTTTTCTTTGTCTCGACTCATAACAATATCTTGAATTCAAATCTTAATTGTTTTTAAACATTCAATCTTTTAGTCAATCAGTGACCTAATAAGCTTTTCCCCATTTTAGTTTTCCCTTAATATTTAAATTTAACACTTAATATTTATTTTTCCAGATTTTTCATTAACGACAATTCCTTTATCACAATTCCTCACATAGTCTAATGTTTAAGATACACATCTTATATATAGATTGTTACCATCTACCTTAACAAATTAATAAAACAATATAATATTCTTATTTTAATATTATATTTCTTTATTTTACATAACCAACGTTTTCTTTATCTCAGGTTGCTACAATATCTTATATTCAGAATACATGTTTATCTACTTGGGTATATTCTATTTTAAATCTCATGTTTAAATCAAAACCCTAGTCATTTTCAGTCTTATTCTAGCTTTCTTTCTTTGCCAAGTCATCTTTCGTGTCTTTGCTTTTAAATCATCAAGCAGATCTCCTTGTGTTGTTGTGGTTATTATTTGATATTGCCCAGACCATCCAATGGTCTTTTTTAAAAGACTAGCTATTCTAACAGGTCATCTCCTTGTTTTTCCATCTCGACGTGGAAAAGTGTTTATCTTCTCTTTCATCTGTTTTTCTTTTTGATCTTCAAGTTCTTTCTGATTTCTAAGAAAAGTCATTTTCTTTTTCTCTATTATCAATTTCTTTTCTATATCTTCCATTATCTGTATTTGTTGAGTGGTTGAATCTTCTAACATAGCATTTGATTGTTCCACTTTCTCTATAGAATTCTGTCTAAATCAGACATGTCAAACACAAGGCCCGAGGGCCAAATGCGGCCCGTGAAATGGTTTCATGTGGTCCACAAAGCCATCCTGGAAACAGTGAGGGAACAGCCCCCACTGCCTTGGCCCTGGTCCAGGCTGGCCAGGAGCCAATGTACAATTTTGTGGTGGCCATCCATGCTGAAACACATTCAGTCTTAGCTCCACAAGGACATCTTGAAACAGTGAGGAACCAAGGCCCCACTCCCTAAGTGCATGCTGGGGAAGTGTTACCTTTTGTGAGGAATGAAGAAATGCACCATTGCCTGGAAGTGGCCAGCAAATGGCCCTCGCCTACTTCACATATCTGGCTTGATGGGTTCCGGGGGAGGGGTTTTGGCGGGCAGCAGGACTCTCTTACAGCGCCAAGAGGCTGAGCCGGGAGGCGCAAATCCAAAAAGAAATGCGAGGCCGCCCAGCTCC